TTGAAAAATAATATAACAACAAACTTAAAACATAAAAATTACACAAACAGTTTGATATACTTTTAAAAAACATAGGAACAATCAAATTATAGTATGTGAAGTAACGTCCGATTGTATATTAACTTTGTAACTAAAAGAGGCTAAAATCCTAACGTGTCTAATAACATTTGAAAACACCATTATTGGATACACATATTTTCTTTATTTTAATGGTACATATTTGGAAAAAATTTAAAACACAACTGTAACTTAATAAAATCTGTATTATATAAATTAAATTCACAATATATATATTTTTTTTAAAAAGGAGCATAGCCAAAAAAAAATTAACACCCAGTCACAATTTTATTAAACTAATAAATCTCACCTTCCAAGTATCATTTTATTATGTTGATCTAAAATATTAAAGTAACTCTTACTTTTTCATAATTTTGATGTATACAAAATTGAAGTAAAAGTATGTAAAAATTATATGTTCTGCCTTTGGTATACGTAAAATATGCATCATATTTTTCATATTGGATCACTTATCATGTTTTGTAACAACTAAGTTTTCCCAACTTAAATAAGCCAAATATGTTTTCTATTTTCCTATCGATTCTAAGACAGTCTCTTGATGATATTGAAATATAACAATTCACTTAAGTAGGTGATTATAGTATTGTAATAATACTTTTTGGGTTTGGGTTTCATCAGAAATATAATTTGACAAAATAATCCATTTTGAGATGTTGTTATCAACTATAAAAGATATATTATTATTTTAAACTCTTTCAAATATGAAATATTTTAATATGAAATTAAAAAGGAAATATTCTTAAGTAAATGTTTAATAATTATCATGCATATAATTATAATTTAATTTATTTTGCAGTCAACATAAAATCAATAACGCTGATAGGATAATTTAATATATCTTCATGTCTTTGATAAATAGTTTAATTTCTAAGATACTATGAAAATACTGTTTAAATTTATAAAATAACATAAATTATGTATTAACAACCAAACCATATATTTAAATTATGTATTAAAATAACTAAATAATGTTAGAAAAAACAGCGTTACTTATCATGCATATATTTTGAATTTAATCTATTTTTTCAAACAGCATAAAATCAATTACACTAACAAGATGATCAAATTAATGTATATTCATGTATTGAATAAATATTTTATTCTCTAAGATACCAAGGAAATAATTTTTAAATTTATAAATAACATAAAATATGTATTAACAACCACACCATATATTTAAATTATGTATCAAAATAAATAAATAATGTTAGAAAAATGGCATACCATTAGTTACTAATAATTTACACAAGTTTTCTTTTTGCTAATTTAATAACTAGACTGAGATAAATGTAAAAATAGATATTTTAATTAGACAAAAATTTATCAATTTTAAAAATAATCAAGATTTAGTTCATTCGATCAAATGGTGGTACAGACTAAAGTTGATCAAATTAATCATAAACTAGATATGACATGCGCTTTTAAAGCGCGAGAAATTTATTACAATTCTGATAAAATTGATTTAATTTATAACATGTATTAGAAAATAAGCAATTTAAAAATTGTTTTATTAGTATTTCAAAAAAGGTTATTCTATATACAATTTATAAGGTTTGATTTTTAAGTAGTATAGTTATATCAAACCTCGACCCATGGTTAAACCGATAGATCTAGCAACTTTTGTTGAATAATAATTCGATAAAACCCAATAAAAAACTAAAAAAAAATCACTATTAATACATGATCTGATATCTGATGATCTGTTAAAAATCCATAACCCTGCTTATAGTTCAAAATTTTTGATTAAATAACTCATATATTTAAATATTATATAAAATTAAAAACTTGTAATTCCTAAGAATTTGATGAAAATTTTATTATATCATTCAAAGAAATTGAAAATTGGTAATAGAAAAAAACTATTGATATGACAATATTAGTTTCTTTTCGAAATTAATAACCTATGATAAATTTTTTATTTTTAGATCTAATATTTAATCCAATCATAAGTTTTAAAGTATTTTTGAATACTCAAAACTGGAATATAAATATTATGTAGAAATGACAGAATAAATAATTTTTAAAAAGACTTTCACGTATATATTCATATTCGAACGTTAAATAATATTACGCGCACAAAAAACTGATAGTCAAATTACATAGAGAGTATAATTTTCAGAGAAAATAGAACTATTATCTTTCAAATTACTTAGCATAAATATAGGGAATATTCTGTTATTAGTTTAAATAAGTAATAATTCTATTAGAATTAAATGTTAATGGCATTCCTTTGTAAATAATTTAAAGATTAATGGCAGAATTCTATGAAAGATTCTGCTTTAATAGTATATATATTTTAATTAGACAAAAAGTTATGAATTTTAAAATTAATCAAGATTTAACTTATTTGATCAAATGGTAGTAACAAATTAAAGTTGATGATTTTAAATTGCTTTTTTTATAGATTGTTCTATCAAACATTTAAAACGTGTGAGACTAGTGAGAATATGGTCAAAATGACATATTAGTCCACTTGATATTGAAAACATTAAAAACAAACCTCAACTATTGTGGGACGGGTTACAAAATGGAGATCGATCCATTTTGGTCAGAGATTTCAAAACAAACTTATAACAATGCGAGACGGAAATCTAATAGACCGATTACGCTATTATTATTAATATCATTAATCTTTAGTTACATTTAAAGGTTTTTGTTTGGAAATTTGATTACAAAAACATTAAAGAAAACCAGAAAGCATTTAATTATATGGACATGTTACTTTACAGAAATATAATTTTTTTATCAGTATAAACAAATAAATATGCTTTAAAAATATCCACAAAAATGTGCATTACAAGCCTTTAAGAAAAACTATTCATTTAAATTGAAACAATAGAAAATTATTTTTAGAATTATAACTCCTTGATTAACAAAAATTCAAATCTAATAATACAAATATACAATTATCTAATAATTAGGCCATGGCTATAAACCGAGAACTGAAAATTGAACCATTACCGGAAAAACCGAATTTGAACTAAAATTTGTAAATATCCAAATGATCCAAATATAAGTAAAATGAATTGGAACTGAACCAAAAATCAAATGGGTAGAAAAATATTCTGTTTAGTTGGAAAACAGTAATCACATGGTAGAAAAATATTCTGTTTGATTATATTCTGTTTTAAAATTAGATTCAACAAATAACAACAACTAACATGAGTAACTACATGTAGCTAGTCAAGAAAAACAGCAAGCACACTTATTTAGTTGGAAAACAGTAATCACATGGTTTATTTAGAAGAAAAAATTAAGTAACAACATGCGTCTTTATAAAAAGAAAAAGAAAAAGGTAAGCACGCATGTCTTTTTATCGACAAATAACTAATTTAACAATTCTTTATTCAAAAAAGTATAACTAATTCAACAAATAATACATGTTTTTTAGAGCAACAATATAGGAATATGGTTTTGTATAACTTGCTTTTGTTTAGCTATATGAAACATGCTTCGTGTAGTTCCTCGTCTTTAATTAGTTATACAAATTCTCGTATAACTTTATCTTTAGTTGTACGATTGTTTCGCACAACATATTTTAATGAATTGTCCGTAAGTTAAGCATGACATGTGTTTGTCAAAAAAAACAAAACAGTTAAGCATGACATGTGTGGATTATCATCTTGACATTTTTTTACTGTTCTTTTGAGGATCCACACCAAAAATCTGTCTAACAGTGCTTTTCAATATCACCTCTAGAAAACAAGAGAATATGGAATTTTAGAACTTAGAGAAGAAGATACGACAAACCCTAGTTCTCATCTCCATATTGAATCCACCGTCGTTTTTGGTAAGTTTCAATAAAAGAATATTAAAATAACATATTTTACTTTACGGTAAATTAACGAAAGATGAGTTACGTAGGTTTTCACCATATTTTAATAGTTCACTAGAATTTGACCGAGCTTTTCAAGCGCAGAAATATTTTATGATTAAAAATTATATAATTGGATTTTTTTCTTAATTTAAAGAATATTTTTTTATAAAATCAGTTCACCAAAACTTGTGGTGATGATTGTTTTATTTTTAGATTTTTGTTTTTGGTTTTCAGTTTTTAAGTTTCTACTTTTCATTTTTCAGTTTTTGGTTTGGGTTTTTAATTTTTAAACCCGCTAAGTTAGTTTGAACTGATATTACCAACAAAAAAAATCTCAAATAATCAAACATCTAATTTAAAACTGAAAAGATGAAAATAATTTTTTTTAAAAAAAATTGAAATAGTTTATTTTGTAAATAAACAAAGCAAAAAACTATAATATGTGTTTTCAGCTTTTGGATTTTAGTTTTTAGATTTGGTTTTTGGTTTTGCTTTACATTTTTTATTCAGTAAATTATTTAAGAAAAATAAAACAATAAATTATTTAAAAGTTACAATTGAAATTTATCAAAAAAAAGTGATTGTTATTTAAAATAAAAAATATATTAGCATGTTTTAAAGTACATGATTTAAATAAATGTAATAGATAATTTTGTTTTGTTAAAAATATTAAATACCTTTTGGGTCTGAAAATAATAACTGATTTTTGGATCTTTTAAGGTGAAAAATTTATTCAATGTTTTTAGAGTTTTTTCTTAACACTAAGCCCAAAAACCAAACTATATAATTTGTTCAAAAAATAAAAGTAAGCCTAAGACTATATTCCATAAATAACCACTGGTTTACTTTAAACATAATTAGTAGATTTTCATATTCCATATTTTGATGATATATATTCTTTTAGAACATTCCATATTTGTAGGAGAAAATATGTGTTTTCGGTATACACATAGATATCTGCCGTATTTTGAAGGTAGTTTACATTAAAGTCGTCTTTTTACATTAATTGTGTTGGTTTAATTTAAGTAATACGGTTCAATCAATTATATAACTTATATTATTTGTAACATTCTAGAAATGGTTCAAATTTAAATGACAACTTGTTTTAGTATATAAAAAAAATGACTCTATTTTAATAGAATAGATGTGTGTTTTCAAAACTTTGTATAGTTCATAAAGGTTTTAGCATAACATTAAAGTTCATGTATATAAAATCATGATGGTGATAGTTGGTGCTGGAATCTGCAGACTTCCCACTCAACAAGAGTCAAAAGTTATCTACTCTATTAAAATAGAGTCATTCTTTTTATCTATTGATACAAGTTGTCATTTAAATTTGGACTCTTTCTAGAATGTTACAAATAATATAAATCATATAATTGATTGAACCGTATTAATTAAATTAAACCAACACAATTAATGTAAAAACACGACCTTAATGTAAACTACCTTCAAAATACGGTAGGTATCTATGTGTATACCAAAAACACATATTTTCTCCTACAAATATGGAATGTTCTAGAAGAATATATCATCAAAATATGGAAATCTACTAATTATAGTTAAATTAAACCAGTGGTTATTTATGGAATATAGTATTAGGCTTACTTTTATTTTCTGAACAAATTATATAGTTTGGTTTTTGGGCTTAGTATTAAGAAAAAAACTCTAAAAACATTAAATAAACTTTTCACCTTGAAAGATCAAAAAATCAATTATTATTTTCATACTCAAAAGTTATTTAATATTTTTAACAAAACAAAATTATCTATTATTAATCATTTTATTTAAATCATGTACTTTAAAACATGTTAATATATATTTTTATTTTAAATGACAATCCCTTTGTTTTAATAAATTTCAATGGTAACTTTTAAATAATTTATTGTTTTATTTTTCTTAAATAATTTACTGATTAAAAAAATGTAAAGCAAAACCAAAAACCAAATCTAAAAACTAAAATCCAAAACCAAAAGCTGAAAACACATGTTATATTTTTTTGCTTTGTTTATTTACAAAATAAACTATTTCAATTTTTTTTAAAAACAATTTGTTATCATCTTTTCAGTTTTGAATTAGATGTTCGATTATTTGAGATTTGTTTGTTGGTAATATTAGTTCAAACTAACTCAGCGGGTTTAAAAATTAAAAACCCAAACCAAAAACTGAAAATGAAAAGTAGAAACTTAAAAACTAAAAACCAAAAACCAAAATCTAAAAATAAAACTGAAACTAAAAATTAATGAAAAACAATCATCACCATAAATTTTGGTGAACTGATTTTATACCAAAATATTCTTTAAATTAAGACAAAACCCAATTATATAAATTTTTAATCATAAAAAGTTTTCGCGCTTTCAAGCGCGGGTCAAAATCTAGTATCTATTATTATACGTTGGTAGTGTAATGGTCGGATAATCCGCTTTAAGTGAACATTCATCAAGATTTATAATCACATTCAGAATTATAAGACCAGTAAAGAAGCTTTAAATATTTTATTAGCCAAGCTCTTTATTCGTTCGCACAATCGAGAGAGATAACCATACAATACATTTCACATACATTTTATTATTTTCGATACCGATAAGTGGTTTTACACGTAATTAGTCAAAGCTGCGGTGATATTATGTCTTAAAACCTTGTAAACCGATTTCCATCCTTCTTGGGTAAGGTGAATTCCATCCCAGAAGAAGGCAGACCTAGGATCATCACATAACGTACCATTCCTGTAACATTCTATGAGCGGGGTTTTGAACGGTAGAATCCCTGCATTTCCATAGTACAAAGCCTTAATAACATGATTATATATATATATTAAAGATCAAAATGTTAAACTTTCGGGGACTATGACATGACCCATACTCCTTGATTAACTATTTTTTTTTTTTGTTAACTTTTGTTACCTGGGATTTCTCCTTTGTTATTGATGACGGTCAAGAAGGCATTGTAGTAATCTATGATGGTAAAAGCGGAATGACTGGTCTCTTTGTTAAGCTTGGCGACTGACTTATGCAACAAGTCGTTGTGGTATGATACCAGATCCTTAACAATGTATTGGGTGACATTATGTAATAGGTCGGAGCTGTTTGAAAAGTAGGGAATGTACTGGAGCGGTGTCAATGATGGTATTGCTATCTTCTTTACTCCCAAGTTGTGGATTCGCCTCAAATTCACCTCGGTTTGATTCACAACTTTCTCGATGAGTGGTCGGATCCCGAACTGAGAAATGCAATAGAGTTAAAATTTAAATAACTTCACCACCCAGACTGATCATGATGTACTGCTTGATTTAATTCACATACTAAACAAGTACAAAACTGATATGCCGACTGCATATCTAGTGTTTTTTTGTTCAAAGCCATTCTGTTATTAAAAAAAAATCTTTAACTAAAACCGAACAAGAACCATATAGAGTTATAGTTCTACTTTTAATTAATACTGTTTACTAATCTTACTAGATAACTTTTTTGTTCAAGTTAATCTTACTATTATCTTGGCAGGGGAATCACGATTCGCTTCAATGAAAGTAATGTAGTCGTTGCCAGCAACACTAACGAGAGCGACGGACGAAGAAAGGTCGGACTGAGAGTAGATGACAGTTCCGAGGAGTTGCTCGAAGAGATCGATCTGAGCGGTCATGTTAGGATAATCAGCATAAGTCTTGAACACTCCTGTTCCTCCATACGCAAAACTCATTCCGTATTGTAACCGTGTCTTATCCACGTCATCTTTCTTGGCGTAGGTCACAGGTAATTTTATCCTTAGCAATTGGGCTGTATGGAGGAAACATGTGTCTCATTACAATTATGGAATATCCATGATTAGACAAATTAACACATTAATGAATTTTAAAAGAGAAATACAACATCGCGTTCTCAAACAAATTCAACATATATCTAACTCATATAAGTATGCATGGGAAGACAGAATGAGGCTATAATAGAAAATTTTTAATATATGCGAAACCTCCAAAAGACATTTAATTTGAAACAGAAGAAGTCTGTGTTTCCCTTGACAAGTTTTTCATACTACTACGCTGAAGTGGATTTCCTCACTAAAACTAGAGTCTTCAACTGTCAATAACTTTTTCATCTGAAGTTAATGAATAAAATTTAGTCAAAAAAAAAAAGTTAATGAAGACAATGTTTTAGCGTTGTGCACCAAAAGAAAAAAAAAAGCTTAAATAATAGAAAGGTACCTAGAAAATCGGTGGAGATGTGGCCGTCCGAGAACCTGCCAGAGGGTTTACCTGGGTAAGTGATACCGTAAGGGTAGTCCCATACCCCCTTATCAGTAGTATTTGTGTTTCCAATATCCACGTAGGAATCTCCGAACACGAACAATTTATTTCGACCAGAAAACGGATGATTTTGACTTGAACTCTCAGCAGCTACATCGATATCTCCTGCCAAAAAGAGTGATATATAAGAAACTGTAATTGTATATAAAAGTTACGATTTCATATGGCTTTAAAGAGTCCGTTGCTATGACAACTAAATATAATCTTTACCAAATATGAGAAAAGAAAAAATAAACAGTAACAGCGAGGCCAAGAGTTTCATTAAGGAATTCATGTTATTATTTAGGGTGACTGGATGAGATGGGATAAGGGTGTGAAACTTGGATGACTCAAAATGAAGTGTGATTCTTATTTATAAACCTGCAAACGGCTAATATTGAAAACAATCAAATTTAGAGAATATATATAACTTTAATTCCTTGTTATTTATTGAAAACATTGTGCAATATTAGCATATCCCTATTTCCCTAATATCTATTAAAATGAAGGGTGAACTGAGGAAATGACCATAATTTGATTAAAAAAAAAGTAGTCATTTTAATTGAAATTACAAAACAGTATGAATTGTTTGATGATATAAAATTTTAATCATATGGTGTAGTACTCAAAACGTTACTAATAATTTACATCATTTTTTTTGCTAAATCTGATAACTAGACTGACATTAATATTTCATAAATGTTTTAATCAGTTAAAAAGGTTATGAATTTAATAATAATTAGGATTTGATTTATTCGATCAAATGGTGGTACAGATTAAAGTTGATGATTTATAAATTGCATTTTTTACGGATTGTTCTATGAAACATTTAAAACGTGCGAGTCTAGCGAGAATATGGTTAAAATGACATGTTAGTTGAATATGAAAATGAAAACATTAAAACAACCTAAACTATTGTGAGACTACGGAGAATCAGATGAATCAGTTGGCCATGAGATTTTTCAGTGTCCACATGCACTGTAAATCTGAATTCTATCTTCTACTTTTACCAATTCTGTTATGTTTCCAATTCAGAGTACGTATGCGAATATAGATTATCTTTTTTGGAGGAAAAATTCCATAATAGAATTGGAATTGAACAGAAATCGTTATCCCTGGCTAATATGGTATATTTAGAAAGCCCGGAACGATAAACTGTTTAGAGGGATAGATAGGGATCCTTTGGAGCTAGCACGTTATGCTGAGAGTGAATGCCAAGCCTGGTTCAAGACAAATGAATAGGTTACTCTGTCTTCTCAAGAAACCTTAGATGATGAAAACTAAGCTATAAATCTGGGGAATATTTGTCTGATAGACGGTTCATGGACCTCTACAGCTCAGTTCAGTAGATGTGGTTTGGTTTGGACTGATAGCAGGGGTCATAGTCAGTTGATGGGTATGCGCAACTTCATTAGAGTGGAGTCTGCTCTGCATTCTGAGCTGGAAGCACTGCTATGGACAATGGAGAACATGCTTCAACATTCGCCATATCAGAGCTTTGGGACGGATTGTAAGGAGATGATAGCGATGCTTAGGAATCCTCAAGAGTGGCCAAGTTTCTCAACGGAATTGGAAAAGCTCTCGACACTGCGGATCTGGTTCCCCTATTTTAAGATTTCCTATGTTCCAAGGGTACAAAATGTTGTTGCTGATTCTTTAGCTAAATCGACTCAAACTTTTTATAGTGATCTTTTGTACGTTGGTTGTTTTATTCCGGTCTGACTTCTTAGACCACTTCAAACTTGAGTAATAAATCAACATTTTGATGTTAAAAAAAAAATTATTATGAGACGGGTTACAGACTTACAGTAAGAGATTCAGTCCACTTCAGTAAAATTTTGTAAATAAAAATAATATTGCTATTTTAAAACGGGGGTCGATTTCTAGTAAACATTAAATTACAAGCAAAACCATAATTAAATTTCAGAATTTAAAATTAAACTATAGATCCTATAAACTATATACCCTAACTCAAAATCTAAACTTATGTTCAAACTAGATAAATTTGTTATTTATTCATTGAGTAATTTGGTATACTATTACTATTTTTTTCTATGGTTCGGTAAAATCATGAGTTGTTACACGAAACTACAACATAATATTACTCATGTACGCCTACACAGATTTGACACCTTACTTACGACTCATTTGCAAACTCGGATATAAAATCTAGGGGAATTGAGTTGTATAGACAGACAAAAAAGCATAATTCATTTTGTAGCCAATTTCCCTAATAAACAGATACACGGCATGTCTTTTCTATAATATTGCCATACTACCCTTTTTTCTACCGGTGAAACTTGTAAAGAGAAAAAATAAATAATAATTAATGATTGTTAAAGAAAAGCGTGGCCTTCATTACTTTCACAGATACTCTCAAAATATTCAATATGCTAGTTCTATTCTACATGATATGTTCTATTTGTATTCTATATGATTATGCAAGTAGGAAAATAATATAGTACTACTTTCAAAATAAAATAATGTAGACAGTGTATTTTGTAAATATAATGAATTTCTTTAGGGGTTTATATGGTTTTTCTCATATTATTTTTCTATTATATATTTTCTTGCGTCTTAGAATTTAAGCATTTTAAGAACTAAAATAAAATAGGATAAAATGACTATTCTATTTTATTTATAGATGTTCCATACTATATATCTAGTACATAATGAGAAATTTACATCATATTATATAAATTCTATTTGAGTTTATAGATCAGTGATTAGGGTTTAGATTTAGTAAGTAGTTTTTTTTTTGGTTTTAGTATTTAAGCACAATAAGAGCTAATAGAAATACAATAAATTATTCCTACTATACTATTTATAAACTTTCCATACTATGTATAGTAAGCACGAGATATTTGCAGCATATTATGTAGATTATGTTTGAGTTTATAAATCAGTGCTTAGGGTTTAGATTTAGCTAGTACTACCAAGTTTGTCTAGCGTTTTAGTATTTAAGCATTTTAAGAACTAAAATGGGGTAAAATGACTATTCTATTCTATTTATAGATGTTCCATACTATATCTAGTACATAATGAGAAATTTGCATCATATCATATAAATTCTATTTGGCTTATAGATCAGTGATTAGGGTTTAGATTTAGTAAGTATTATTTTTTTGGATTTTAGTATTTAAGCACAATAAGAGCTAATAGAAATATAGTAAATCAATTGTTCCTGCTATACTTTTATAAATGTTCCATACTAACTATAGTAAGTACGAGATATTTTCGGCATATTATATAGATTATGTTTGAGTTTATAGATCAGTGATTAGGGTTTAGATTTAGTACTAACAAATTTTTACTACCTATAATATGGTTTTCATTCCGACTAGGGTATTTGAACATGTGCTATTTGAAATGGAAAAGCATCTGTGCTATTTGAAATGGAAAAACTTAGTTTTAGAGGCTGGTTACGTGCCATTCCAAATATGGCTATTTATGAAGAATCGTATCAGAAATAATATACTATTCGCTTTCCATTCCGTCTGACCATATATTTTGTTCCATATATTTAAATTCTATATTATATCAGATGGTACAATTCTAATTGATATTACACAAATAAGCCATATACTCATCTGCAAAAGGTGTTGGAGTGTTATCGTATTTACGTCTACCATGTCACAATTTCTATGTCATATTCGGCATGTAGAATAGAAAAGAATTTGACATGTTCCAAGACATTTCTATTTCATTTCATACACACTCATATGTGTTGTTTACAGCTGTCATACGTCTTTTGTATATTTATGTGCCACTAAATAGCTAATCTCTCTTGCTTTTGACATTCTGAGTTGTAACATGTTACATTAAGGGGTAGAATCGACTTAAAGGAGGCAAAAAAGTCTGACACTATATTATGTCAAAATCAGTGTTACTTTCTTAATTTGTTACTCAAAAATAGCTATCTCGCCAATAAGCCCTAAAATCTATCTATAAGTTTGAAATTTATCCTGAGTTATAAAAAAATAATTCAACATAAAAGAAGATTGATACTATGACAAATTGCGCTTGTCAGCCATATAATTGACCTGTCATACGTTTGTTTTTTTTTTATCAATTTGTATTCATTTGATATTTTCTTCTAAAATAAACAATATTAAACTTGAAAACACATATTCCACAACATATCTATGATTAATATAACAATAATTATGTTGTTATATGGCTTCAACTACCAATTTAAAAACGTGGCTACGTGGATTAAAAAGACAAGGACGTGGTTTTGTCAAGTTCTTTGACAAGTTTCATTTCATTAGTTAATACAAAACTAAAATAATAAACTAATACATACTAAAATACAAAACTAATATAATAAACTAATTTTAATGGATTTAAAATATATATTAATAGAATTTTATAATAATATATTTTTATTTTACATTTTGATTAAAGAGAATTATTGAAAATGACAAAATTGGATTATTTATCTCAGAATTAAATAATACATGAATTTTAACTTATCACATGAGGTTAGTAATATGTGAACGATACAATTATTCTGTTACGCTTAATTAGAATTTTCCATGTTATGCGTGGATTTTATTTTATTTTCTTAACTATCATCTGTCATTTTTTATCTTTGTTTCATAAATAGCTGTTTTAATTGTTTTATTATGTTACTGTTTAAAAATACATCATAGATGGTCAGATTTTTGGGTTGATAAGGTAGCCAAACATGCTGAGTTACCATCTTCTTATTTTCTAAGCTATTTTCTTGTGGTTTTTAAGTAACCTCAAAGATTTTTTGGTTGATAAGGTAGCCAAACATGCTGAGTTACCATCTTCTAATAAAAATCAATATCATAAACTATTTAAATAGTAAAATCCTAAACCAAAAAGAAGTGGAAAAGTAAATTTTCAACTATTTTTTTTTATAAATAACTAACTTCCTGTTTAATAGAAAATTACTTTTTAAAAAATCATAAACAAAAAAAACTACAAATATTCATATCTATATATGTTTGAATTTTTTCATTTTTTTCACATACACAATAATATTTAGAACAAAAATATTAGTATCTTTTTTATTTACTTGATACAAACTCTAATTTTATTATTATTATTATCCTTTCTACATTTTATGAGGATTTTGTAACTGTTGTAAAGCTATAATGATGTTGTCGTACATGAGAACATATGAATGTTATGAATATGTGTTAAATTTTGATTTATTTGTTATTGAGAATCATCAAGAAAATAATGAACTCATATAGTTATTTAACAGAAGATCAGTTAAATAAAAATATATTTATTAAATGTAGTACAGTAATAAGGTGAAAAGCGAAAAATTGA